GCGGGACGGGGGATGCTCTCGGCGGCTCTTTAGGTTTTCTTCCCCAATAGGAAAAACATTTTCCTCCCCGCGACAACGACCTGGGCATGCCCGCTCGGAAGTGCCACACGTCGGGGATGCTGACTCCCAACGGCAAAGAATACGCCCAAAAAATCCCGGTAAGGGGGAACAGCAGCGGGCGCAGATGGGGCGGAAAAAGGACCCCCGCGGGGTTAGAGGACTGGAAGAGGACTCCGCGGGCCACACCGACTCCTATCTCCCCCCTGAGGAAAGGGGAAATTACCCCCTGTCCCGTGAGACCCCCCAGATGTCTCACGCTTCACGCTGCGGTGGCGCCCACCCCAGTCGTGCTGGAGATAGGCAGAGAGCTCTTCATGCCTCCGGTGCTTCATCAACAATTTGAATTGCAGAAGCTGATCGGTTTTGACGCCAAAAAGGTGCACGTTACAGACGTACTGCGTATGGATAATGTTTGTTCTGTTAAAGAAGTTGTATATGGTTCCATATGCTTAAATAATTTACTTGTTATAATAGAGGTATTGCAGTAGTATTTTGTCCATATGACTGACAGACAGACAGACAGACATCCCTTTGAGTTTGTTGTGTCAGTCTCTGTGGAACAGAAACTTAGGAAGCTGTGCTTGTGACAGATAAATTAATCACTGTCACTGCAAAGTACAAAAAACAATCAGGAGAAAGAAATAACCGTCATTATCTCTGAATCGATAGTTAGGTAAGGGGAAAGAACAGCAAATTGTTTTAGACAGATGTAATGGCAAAGAGGAAAAAAAAATCGTTACTATTGTAGCGAAGAGGAGAAAGTTTCTTTGGCGAGGAAAAAAAAAAAAAAAAGCCGTTTGTAAAGTCGAGGATACAGCAGCGGAACAAACGTTTGCCTCTAGGAGGAGACAGCCGGAGATGTTAACATTTTGCTCTTTGGTTGTGATGGAGTGAGGAGCTTCCCCCAAGACGTTCAGAAGCTCCTCTGGAAGGTCAGTGGGAAATGAGGTCCTGCCTGCTTTAGAAAGTTTTAACCAGTCAACCCTATTTCTGAGCATGTATTGCAAGAGAAGTCTTGAGTTTTTGTTGGAAAAGAAACCATCCCAACCACCAGGCACCTTCTAAGAAGTGTCTGCAGCCAACCTCTAACCTACATGGCTATAACCACGGCAGGTGTGAGGAAACACCTGCACCTCCATACCAGCACACAGAGATGTCTAGGTGAGGCTTCTTGGGCTCGAGACATCTGGCAGTTCCTGAAAACTTTTTCATTGCCAAGTAAGTTTGACAGGAATGTCACCAGCTCACTAGTGCTGTATCCACAGTTTGAGGTGTTACAGAGCTTAGGAATCTAAGAAAGCTGAAAACAAGACAAATACAACTTTTGGGTGTGGCTTATATATATAAGCAAATAACCAGAGAAGAGGGGCCCTTAAGTTCCGAATATTTGAAAACCATTGAACTGCAGATATAAATCTTAATCTCATTGAGATTTCACAGTGAGACTGTCTAACAGTGTTCATATGACCTGCTGCAAAACAACAGAAATTCTTTACTGTTGTAATTTATCAGAGAGAAGAACTAACTCACTTGATACTGAAACTTCTGCAAGCCTGGAAAGAACCACTTTCTCACTTTAACCAACATATTGAGCACCATCAAGAGCTACCTGATGACAGCCTTAGCAAAGCTAAACAAATCAGCAATATGGTGCATGAGCTGAAGACTGGAGTTGAGAAAGTAACAGAAAAGGCAAGATTTTCAACATAACTTTTATGTATAGCAGTCAGCGGTGTGAGTGACTTCAGGGGGGGGGGGTGTTGGTTCAATGTCTGCTCTCACTTGCTCTGTAGCCTTAATGCCAACAGAGGCTCTGATCCAGTAATGCTGGACTTTGTTACAGATGGAGGAATTTTTCAGTCAAAGGATGTGACCTAAGTTTATGGATTGGCAGATACAGAGATGACATTACATATGTCTATATGTGTTGAGCACTATTTCATTTATATGAACTATATGAAATAAAGACACCAGTAGAAAGACCAGAGCCATTTACAGCTTCATAGATGAGCCAGTAATGAGCTGACTTTTCTAGGGCAGTAGAGGAGATGTGAGTAGACCTGACAAATAATTAATTATGGGTTTCAGTTTTATTTGTATTTACATTCCAAGTAATTCCAGTATCTCTGCTGTCTGCTGCAAAAAGCTCCTTCCTAAGGCAAGAATTTTATGCTGGGATAAACTCTTCGAGACAACAGTGGCATTGCTTAAGTCAGATGCCAACCACAAAACAATTTCAAAACTCCATTCCAAATTCTGTCAGATCATATATAAATCATTGAATGTAATTTTTTATTTCCATTTCTGTTTTCTCATTACTAGCTAGTAGCCCAGATCTTTGTATTTCCTGTGCATTCATAGCTAAACTTGTTTGTAGGCTAAACTTGTTTGTAGGCTGTGTGTCCCTTCTCTGAAATGGTTATGCTGCCAAGGCATCTATTCACCAAAAAAAGTGAATAATAAACTAGTATCTTACACTAGTGGATCACATTTCAACTTTATGAGCACAAGTGGGGCATACAAGTTTTTAAATTATAAGCAGCTCATCACTAGAATAGGAGGGATTGTGCCCTGGTCTGAAATGCAGCCCCGATTACGGTGCCTCAGAGTTACAAATGGAAAGTTCATCGTCCAAGTGCAGTCATGGTTCCAGGTTAAAATAGCCTTAAAGTTCAGAGGTCTTCAACCTTAGTGCCTGACCTTTGTTTGCCTCAATCTGTAACTGAAGCAAGCCATCAAACTCTAACCTAGCTACACTCTTCTGGCACTTTTACCTGATTTTATTTTTCTAAAACACCTTTGAAGGAATTAGTAAGAAGGGAGGCTTTGAAGTTTTGACCTTTGTACTACGGACATATCACAAAGTAGAAACGTTTAAAAAATGAAGCAAACAATGCAAATGCATTTTAGTAATCTGCAGCTGTGTTTTTCTGTAAGACACTAATTCTAACCTTGATTCTGTTGTGAAGCTCCTGTTGAGAGGTGGTAATGGTCTGCAGAGTGCACCAGGTTAAACAGCGGTAGTGAATGCTCATGTTAGAAGCATCCTTTCACAAATCTTATTAAAATAAATGGCTAAAAAATCTTAAGATTGATTTGCTGTATTACTTCAAGAAGAAATAATGACTACCAAACAGGGATTCTTCTACTTGAACTCGGCTGGAGTTATACCCCAGTATTCTTGCATTACTAGTGTATCAGTTCATTTCAGGCTAGTCTGAAGGTTGTATAGCTACCTTTGAGATAAAAAGACAATGTTATGCTACGTAAGCAGCTTTACATGTATCTTCAATATGTGAAAGGTCTGGAGTTGAACAGCCCAACACAGGGACGCCTCGGCTGACTGCTGTGCTAGTATTTTAAAGATTTGTTGTATGTGTAGTGATGAGTTGTACTTCTTTTCCTGTTTTCCATACAGATGCAGTCAATGGGGATCATCAGCAACTCATTAAATGGAATCGCATCATCTGAAGCTGCTGGTTTATCCATTAGTAATGAAGCAAACATGATGAGTGACTCTGACTTTATTCACTGTTTCAGGAGGGACTCCAATAAAGTACAAAGCTACTTAAAAATTCTTAAATGTAGGATTATGCCAGAAAATAGCTGTTGAGTTGTAATATCTTGACAAGTAGTCTTCAGCATGTTGTATATAAAGATGAAAAAACAGAATTTATAAATCACCACATTTAGAGTAATTTTAATAGAAAAGTGGATTTGAAATTATTTGGCAGCTACTTGACACAGTTGACCTGTGCAGATGAAATATCCAATAAAGCTTCATGTGTGTATGTGGGTTAACGCACCAGATAAAAAGGAGTACTCTAGCAGTAGATAAATAAATGTCCTTGCACATTACACTGTGACAGACTATATTATGGGTAAGTTGATGTAACTGCAGGACCCATGGCAGACTTTCATGTTCACACCATACTTCTTACTCATTTCTATGGGCCTTCACATGTGCCCCATAAGACCTTGGTCCTAGCATGTTTATTCATTTTGAACATCCTTTATACCTATAATGGTTTCACCGATTTTAGTGGAAACTCCTAGAGAAAAAGTTTGCATATGAAAGGTAAGTTAGAATTCTGATCCAAATAGCATTTCCGTCTGAGAACTGAGCATAGAATCATAGAAACATTAAGGCTGGAAAAGACCTCCAAGATCATTGAGTCCAACCATCAACCCTACACTACCATGACCACTAAACTATGCCCTGAAGTACCACATCTACACATTTTTTGAACATCTGCAGGGATGGTGACTCCACCACCTCCCTGGGCAGTCTGTTCCAGTGCATCACCACTCTTTCAGTAAAGAATTTCTTCCAGATATCCAACCTAAACCTCCCCTGGCACAAATTAAGCCCATTTCCTTTTGTCCTATTACTAGTTACTTGGGAGAAGAGACCAAGACCAACTTCACTACGACTTCCTTTTAGAACAATAAGGGCACCCCCACAGCCTCCTCTTCTCCAGACTAAATAATCCCAGTGTTCTCAGCCACTCTTCATATGATAAATTCCCCACGCTCTTCACCAGCTTTCTTATCCTTCTCTGGACCCACTCCAGCACCTCAAGGTCCTTCTTCTACTGTGGCAAAGAATGGCAAGGTTGATGTAGTAGCAAGAAGTCTCTTTCCCAGAACATATGCTGACACAGGGCTTGAGTTTTAAAGGAATGGTGCCACTACTGCCAAAGCCGTCAGATATTTTATAGTAATCACATCTTCCTAGAAGTAGGGTGGTGCTGGTGGTTGTTTATAGAACAAAACATCTTTGCATTCAGATCCTAAATGAGCCATTTGAACAGGTAGTTATAATCAATATGGATTTATCTTTAATACTCTTGACTATTTAATCTCTGAATACTCTTTTCTGGCCTCCTCTGATCTTTATGGTTGTTGACCAGTAATGGTACTGGATTTGGGCTTGAGAAACCCAACAAAAAAATGTTTCAGAGAAACATTTATGCAGAACAGAGGAACAATCTTTCCAGTTACATCTCCATTGCGGCCAACATCCTCAGCTCAGATACCTACTGTCTAGTAGACAGCTGATGTACTTTCTCAGCTAGAAGCTGCGAGTGTTGGCAGTTCACACCTGGTCCCTGTTGTGTCAGGTATGGCAGAAATGCAAGGGCTTATACAGTGTTTGCACTGAAGAAGTTACTAGATACTTCAGTAACTAGCAGTAAGATACTACAAACAGTAGTATCCTTCTGTAACAAAATAGCAGCATTCATTTGCAAATTTTGAAGAAATTTGCGAAACAAAACACGTCTCCAGGCAGTAAAGGAAGGCTGCTCTGCGCAGACAGAAAGAACCAGAAAGGGATGCTCACCCTACCTGCATCTATCTGCGATCACAGAAGATGTAGTAGCAATTAATAATTACAGCATTTACCGCATCACCTGGTATAGCTGCAGCCCCAGAGCACAACAGCGTGCTGGTGTTGACCGTCTCCTGTGCCACCAAGGGATTATTGCTGTTGCTGGAATACAGAAGCTGGCCAAGTGTGCCTCCACTAAGGATAAAAATGGCATTAGGGCGTAACGCCTCCAATTCTGTTGGAGATGGCATCACATGCAGCAGGTCCTCAAGAGCGATCCTACATCAGAAGTGAAAGGTGACAGACACGGGGGGGTCACTGAGCCAAACGAGGCAGATGGAAGGAAGCTCCCTCTAGGACCGGCACTGGCCCGGCACAGCCTGGCCCTGGCCCTGAGGCCCGACGGCCAGGGCTGAAGCGCTGCACCCCGCATTGCCATGGAGAGGCACCATGGGGCATGGCGGGCAGGCAGGCGGTGGCCATGGGCCAGTGGGTGGGAGGTAGCCATGGCCCAGCAGGTGGTGGGCTTGATGCCTCTCAGAGTGAGTTGCAAGGTGACTTGGAAATCAACCCTAATGGCTACTAGGAACTTCTGCAGCTGGACAGACACCCCAGGGGTTGTGGCTGGAAAAAACAGAGCAGATCCTAAAAATAATTCTCATCACCCTGAAAGAGCAAAAACCCTTGGAACTTTTTGCTGTAGAGAAATGCCAAAGTAGAGAAAATGCAAAGCAGGTGCTGCAGGAGGAACAACAGTGCACCCAAATAGTATCCATAGCCATTCATACTCATTAGTGTTGTATTTCAAGACTTGCCTTTGGCTGAAGAGAGTCATGTTGGTGAAACAAAAGCCTTCTTATGTTGCCGATGTTGCCTTGCTTCCTCTTCTGACTGAGAAAACAACTGAGCAGTGAGTGGCAAAGGGCACATTTTCCTCTGTGGTCACCAATGCCTCAAAGAGAAATACCCGTGATAGCTGCTTTTTACACAAGACAGCAGTGAAACTAGTTAGGAATATTTGAAAATGTAAAATCATTTACTGCACTCAAACGCTTTGGAGTTTGAGAATGCGTCATGCATCAGAGAATACTAACTTAGGAGAAGCATTTTTGCAAATTAATGGAAAATCAGAGAACCAGGCTTCCAGTTAAGTGCTGGGCTCATGCAACAACCTCTAACAATGTATGTTAGAGGTAAATCACAGTGCACTTTCCGCTTGTGGGACAACCTGTTGCCGTTAACTTTACCTGTCAAGAGAAATAAACTTAAGAATTAAAAATATCTCCACTGTTCTTCAGACTTTACTCTGTGAAACTTTTTAGGATAACCCCAGAATACTGACGTTTTTGTATAGGAGTCCAATTAATTTTAATTTTTTTTCAGTTGTTAGAAGTTGCTTTTATATGTTAGAGATTTCCTTGTCATAACTTTTCAATTTTTTTTCAAAGTGATGGATATGACAGACTCCCTTAGTAACTGAAAATTTATTTTGTTCCTCTCATAATGTGCTAAATGGTTTTGATAGCGTATCCTAAATTTAGACCCAATCTGATATATTCTGATGTTTGTGTGACAGATTAAGTGGCAGATGTCACTTGTAGTTTAACTCTTATCTAAACCCAGGTGATAGCAAAGCAGAAACAAATGGAAACAGACTTTTTTGAACGATATGCATAAACATTCAGCTACCTTGTATGACATTTAAATGTAGACATGCAAAGAAATAAGGACTTGGGAAAATGTAAGAATTCCTCAGGGGTTGGATGTTTATAAAAGGTGAGATTTCTGCATTTGGGTGAGTACTGGAGAATCACTGTTGAGATGTTCCTTTGTGACATCCCTATCCACCACGCCCAGCTTCGCTGCTTAGAATTACAACCAGCATCTAGGGGAAACCACGGAGTGGAGCTGCCATTTTCTGGCCGTTACTTTAGGTGCAAGCCCGCATCGGGAGCATCTCAGACCCAGTTTACATACCTCGGTTTATCTTACACAGCAGCAGTCCTTGGGCACGTAACTTAGAAGCATGGTCATTAAAGATGTCTGCAGTCAGTGGCAATTCCCTCCACTATGAAGCTTTCTCTGCAGGGGCTTTTTGGTCTCTCTGTGGTTCAAAGTTAAGCCTCAAGTTAATTTGACCCTAGTTTCTCTTCGGTCCTCTCTTAAGGCACTGGATTTACAGCTAACTTGCATGAAAGGGGTTTGTTTTTCCTTCTAGTTTCTGAAAATCAGTAAGTCTTGTTGGTAGGTGCTGAAGCATGTGAATGTACTTAATTTATATCTGCCTTATGACAGTGGAAGATATATTTGTCAGAAGAGCTGTGTAGCTACAGTGATGGCAACTGGTATTTAAGACCCAGTACTAGTAAATCACAGAGAATAAAACAAATCTGATGTATTTCTGCAGCTCAGGAGTGACATTTGACCACTGTACTATTGTTCTGACACTGAAGTTACTAATGCAGTTCTGTGCCTTAAAGCAGTCTTTTTTCTCCTCAGCAGATCGTAACAATGAATTCCTGTCTGGTGAAGAATCAATAAAAGCAGGAGGATTTTTAGAAAATTATTTTGTACTATGTATCTGTACAACCAAAGTGTAAGTGCTGACACAGTGTGGTCAGCAAATCCAGCTTTAGCACTGTTGTACAGGAGGTCCACAGGGGAGCCAGCTGGCCTCTCAAGTTCATAGTCTCACAGTCGCTTACATGCAATAAAATGTGACTGTGGCTGTGTGACTGGCATAATCTGCACCATTTGTGATACCTTGTAAAAGACCAAGACCCAGACTTAGAAAAGGAAATCTGCACCTTAGATATCAGAGAAGCTCCTTTGAGTGCCTGACCTTAAGAATAGACTTTCAAGATCTGTATTCAGACCCACCTGGATGATCTCCAATAGGTGGGGCAAGAAAAGCCTCTCCTGTTCCTGCAGCTGCTTGGTTGGGCAGCAAGATCCCTGTGTCAGCAGCACAGCCCGAGGACGCGGGAGTCTGCAGCTCGGCTAACAAAGCCAGCACTGAGCCTCAGCCCTTTCTCCCTTTCCCTGTTGTATTCGGAACTACCTTAGCATTGATGAGCTGCCAGACTAAACAGGGAGCTGCCCAGCGAGTATAAGTACCTGCTTTGTTTGTGGCCTCTGAAGAGCTGGGGTTTTTAACTGTGGTTTGCAATTTGAAGTACCTGATCTCTGCCCAGCCCCAGGATCCCAGCAAATGTCCTTTATAATACACCAAAGCCTGGAACTATAGTCTTAAAATGCCACACATAGGAAATACCTCAAACACCCTACAACCATGCTGCAAGCATCCACCAGGTCATACCCTTAAAGTCAGAGTAATATGTTGCTGGTTTTAACAGTGTGGTACCATCAGTACGTATCACGTCACTCCATAATACCAGATACACACCTCTGCAGTGTGCCTGCTATCAAGTGCTTCAAACACCTGCTGGGGATTTTGCATATAAATTATGGTCTCTTTGTTGTTTTATAACTAGCATGCATATGACATTTGAAGAAAGCAAATACTTACTACTTGATCCTGCACACAGAAAAGGCTGGCATTGTGAGTCTATCATATTTTTGCATTCATACTGGGCACCGTTCCTCATTTACCAAGTTCTCATGGTATGGACTGAAAGGAAACATCTCCTTTAAATAGCTTAAAATGAGAGGAATCAAGGTTGTATGAGTCATGGGCCTAAATCTATTTTGACTAATTGAATCAGACTATTTTAGGTATAGTTCAAAATTCACAGGTATACTTTTAAGGTTTTTAAGAAAGCTCGATCAGCATTTTCAAGTAAAGAATGTTTTATCTGGCATACTGAAACTTTATTCTAGCTGTGGAATAGGAATACTGGCAGGAGGTGCTAAAAGATTAGGAGGGCTGTGAAATGGTGTGAGTTTTAACAGGCTACAGTGAAACCACAACTTGCTCAATTTAAAACACGCGTAACATTGTAACTGTGAGACCCGTGCTGAATGAGCCTTGCCTGACCTTTGCCTCAGTGAGACATCCTTCAGGTGTGTTCTGGTTAGCCCGTCAGCTCAGAGTTCTGACAGCAGTTCACATTCGGTGCTTGCAACACCATCAACTGAAAGAATTTCCCAGGGAGCATTCTGAGTCCCAGTTCCCCTGTCCAGAAGTGATGCTTCGAACACTAATGCTCAGCTGACTTGCAGTAAAAGAATATGAGCAGCTGTGAAGACACCCTTTTCCTGAAAGATGAGATGAGAAATCCCCACCATACACTGATGGGAAGCACACACAGGTACCTCCAGCTGATCATTTGATGGTAATTTGGAAATATCTGCAGGCCTTTCATTGTAGAAAAACTCCAGCAAACTCTTCAGAAGAACCTGGGCCACCAACACTTGCTAGTCCTTCAGGCAGGAGCTAGTCAAGCAGGGCAGGACCACGACTTCAAAAGGACAACTAGACAGTAACTTCATCCCTATGTGTATACTGTCTGTCCACCCCTAAAGGTTTTAGCCAGAATATGAGTTGGTTCTGGGATTTCAGTTGGAAGATGGGAATAAACTTCCCATCTTACCGAATAGTACATAACACATGGCACACTAAATGTGTTCAAGGGCCTTCTGAGGGTAGGTATCTAGGCAGCTTATGCTACTGAGGGTTTGTAACTACAGGAAGAGATGACTTCTCAATTTTTCTGTCATTTGCTTTTTCTTTAAAACAAGCATAGGAAATCACATGCAAGGAATGACATACAGTGCAAGACTAGAACTGCACTACTGACAACTTAGAAGGCAGGACATGCACAAGCTGAGATACAAAACTCACCTGGTCAAGTGTGAAGTTTACGATACAAGCTTAATCACTGCAATCTCAAGTTTTGTAGCTGCAAATGTATCTAAACTTCACATAATAATACAAAGGGAATAGCAGATCATCCACAAAAAGGTAAAACGTTAAATAACAATTGTACGGCTTTTTGCAAGATGTACAATGCAGTTCAAAAAGCTTTGGAGCTCAAGTCAAGAATATTTAGAAACATTCATGGCATGCATGATGAGCAAAGCCAGACCAGGTAATCATAATCATCTCTCTTGACTATAAAATATTTGAATTTGCCAGAAATAAAATAGTCCCTATAAAACCATAATGTTTTCCAAAAGGTTTTGCCTGCAATTTACAATGCCTTTAAGTCTTTCTTTTCAACAAATGCATTCATAAATGTATGTTAAAGAAAAGAAAGCTCCGCTCCTGTTTTGAGCTATGAAGACCTGGAAACAAAAAAAATTCAATAAAAAATTCTACTTAAATTCATAAAGTGATTTCCTTAAAGTGGATGAAGCAAGCAAATAATTTTAAGCAAAGCAGTTTTCATAACACTATTTGACACTACTTGTATCACACAGAATCCTGCCATGCCTTTGATAAAGACATAGGCCAATGTGTACTTACTGGCAACAGTTTAAATAAGGACAAGTCAAGAATTATCAGGGTTATCAGCTGACCTGTGTCCATGCTATTTAAAACCAACTGATATAATACTACTAATATAGGTGAGGACAGATGGAGAAAACTTACTAAATATGGTTATGTTTGTCTAATATGAACCTCTTGCATCACTCAATGAATCTGAAAAAAGAACCCAAAGCAACTTACTACCTCGAGGGAAACAGAATTATTCTTATCTTGTGCACAAAAGAAATTAATTGGTCTGACTGCAATGAGAGATAAAAGTGATTTCTCCATCAGTGTGTTTTAATGAATCCCATATACAGTGCAGATGTCTAAATCAGAGCACAACTTCAGCTTCATGCTCTTCTCTTCATCTGACTTACCATCAGTTCCTATTTCACTTTTAAGGTGAGTACAAGACTGGAAAAGACACAAGAAAAGACTGAGTATTGAAGAATACTTCTTAAATCATTAGTTGTTTGTCACTTTAATGTTGTTAGACTTTAGCAAATTTATGAGGCATAAACCTGTTAGCTTTACAATGTCCAAATACTGTTAGTCTTAGAAGACTGCTCGTTTGAAGCCTGTGCTCAATTCACAAACTGCCCCTATCTCCTTAGGCTGATGATGTAACTGCCTTATTTGCAGTGTCTTGGTCAGGATACAAACACAGCGGGCTCTGCGATGAATTTGCTCTCGGAGGTGGTTGTGTACTAGTCAGTCTGTCAGAATTTCCTGGAGAATTCTCCCTCCACCTTGGACTTTCCTGCTCCTGAGACACTTCCCACACAGATGGGCACGGGGAGGCAAAATTCATGGTAGATCGTGAGAGGTAGTTCTCCTGAAGACCTTCTTCTTGGAGGCACCTGTTTGAAAGCACTTCTTTTTCTTTGGAGTTTCGCCATTTCATCCTTCGATTCTGAAACCAAATTTTCACCTGTTTGCAAGTTAATGAGAGTTTATCATTATTCTTTTCTTTAAACAACTTTGCCCTAACAAGGTTTGTTTTTTTTTTTTTTTTTCTTTCCAATCCCTTAGCTTCATGTTAGTTCCTTATTCATTGTTATAGCAGATCCAGTGAAGCTGACTAATTGACATTATCTGAGCATTTTCCCATCACTGTTTACTAAACCTGGGCCAGTAGCTGGGGTATTTACTACAGCTTTTTTACTTCTGCCACCTCAAACAGGTGATTCTTTGGCTTAGATTGGAAAAGGGATATCTCTGTGGCTGGGGACAGAGCAATTTCCTGTAGCAACATCCTTCTCAACAGAAAAGGATTCTCAGAGTAAATTACCATCCTCATTAGCAAAACTAAGTGATGTTACTGGTGATGTGAAGCTGCCTATTTAAACGTGGATCTGAGAACTCTAAGTGTCCAATTCATAAGCACAGCTAAAACCAGCTTGGTTATGTAGCTTCAAAGTGAGTCTTACGACATATGACACAGGAGTGAGCATTTAAAGACATTTTTTCTGCCTGACTGTGGTTTTCCAGGAGTTACCTAGAATCCATGTGCTTTTGAGACAAAACGAATTTTTCAAAACCTTTTAGTTGCAAAGCTTTACCAGGAGTATTCAAAGGTATTTATGAAATGCTGGGGGAAGCTTGGGGAAATACACATCTAGGAACAGGTTTTACATAACGAGAAGAAATAGTGGTGGAACCAATTAACTTATTCAGACTGTTCTATTTTCCCTGGAGTATTTGCATTTAGTTCTAGTATTCAGATACTTCATATGAAGATAAAGCAGCTACACTTTCAAAGGTTTGAGAATCATTGCCTTAGATGGCAGGTGCTGTTCCTCCAACACAACTGGTTAGAAAACCGAAGCAGAAAATTCACAGCAACTGCTATTCCTTTCATGAGTCAAAAAACCAAAACCAACACCAACATGCCTATCTTCTGGTCTATCATCATCATCAAAATTATTTTCCTGCAGTGTAATTGCTACCTATGTGCCGTTCCACTAGTTTTTACTCCCCCAGGCTCTCTTAAGTATCAAGAACACAGAAGAAAAACTCAAGGAAATAATTGCAATATTAGGAATTTGACTACAAGTTGGGACATTTTTAGGCAGCGCACTGCTGAGTGCAGTTGTGCATTTTGATTGAAAGAGTTCATCCTGCAAAGATTACAGCTCTGTGCATCACACCAAGAAGCACTACACTTTGCTGCTGGAGCTTCTCTAGAGCTGTAGTGCTTGAAATGGAGTCAGCCACTCAGGTGGCAAGGAACCACTCCAGGCCACAAGTTCTAACCTTCTGCGCTAAGTGGAGCAATTGTGAAGTTAGATCAAATTGTTGAGGGCCTTGTTGAGTTCTGCCAGTCTCCAAGATAAAAATGACGGGCGCTTCCATCACTACTCCCAGGCTTTTGTGCCCCCTAGACAGCTTCTGCCATACCTATCTTAAGCTCTTTACTCCTGCTGCATGCAAAGGAATGAAACTGTATTTTTGCCCTCATACTCTTTCAGCTGTACTCTAGAGATCTGAGTCTACTCCAGCACCTTCAGAATGCCACCTCCCAGTGGCTACCATGTTCTTTTTCTGCTGTTATATGTCTTTACAAATATTTTTTCCAGTTTCTTTCAGGCTTTGTGGTCTTCAAGCCAGGCACTTTTCCTTTGTTTTTACCTGCAGCTAGGTCAGGCCCCTGGGTTACTGCCACTCAGCACCATCATTAACATGCTTGTTCAGATAGAACAGCTCACTGGAGGTATTGGACCCTCACCTAAACTCTGAAGTCCTGCAGCAGGCCAAATCAGAAAAATCATATGACATGCAAATTGGTAAATAAAGTGGGAGGATTTTAGAAGGTCACCCTGCAAAATTTTTCCTTCTGCAGTTTCAGCTCTGAGGATCTCTTTCCTTGTGCGGCTAACTTTCTTTCTGTGGGGATGGCTGCCTGTCTCCTGGGGGAGACTGGTTTCAGAGCAAGTGCTGTTGATTGATTTGTCTCGAGCTGTTCATCTGAGAGTGCAAAGGGTGCTTAGGGGAACAGGGGAGGGCTCTGTGCTCTGCTGTTTCCTGCCTGGATCACTGCCTATCAGGCAGAAGGATGGAGCATAGTTCCCTACCCCACAGCTCCTGAGGGAGCTCTGTCAGACAGCAAAATGGGAGTTGGAAACAATGCAGAGGTCATGTTTCTCCCACTTTGTGTGAAAATGGAGCGATCAACTTTGAAATGTACACCTTCAGGAAATAAACCAGGAAGCTGCTCAAGAATCCATTGGTTAAAATGGCCATTGATTTACTGGTGTCTTTGCTCAGTGAAGGAGCTCAGGGCTGCCCCTGTGCTGGTTCAGTTTTCCTCCTTCAAAGACCTTTTAAAGAGTTTTCCTCAAAAAGACAGTGTCACAGATGTTCTGTCATTCCTTACCTGAGACTCCTTTAGACCCAGGTTAATGGCCAGTTTCTTCCTGTCTGTTTTACTAATATACTTCTGCTTCTGAAACATTTTCTCCAAAGCTTTCCTCTGGTCTTCAGAAAAGACAGCTCTTCTTAATATACCTCGCCGGGATTTCGAGTTAGACTCCTGGTTCAGAAGAGGCAGCACACTTTCATCTCCTAGTGGAAATGGATGAGAGTTGCACATAATATCTAACACACAGCAGAAAAACATGGACTGCTGTTCATTATAATGCTAGCAGACTACTGTCCCACTTTTGATTTGTTGGTGTTTTAAGTGTATCATAATGCTTCAGTAACGTTCATTAAAGACTAAATCCTCACTTGGATCCAGAAGTGTTGTCAGTGGTCAAGAGTCTCCCCTTGACATGGCAAAAAGTAAATCAGATGAGTTCCTAGAGGAACATAAACACGGGGCCTGTCCTACAGCAAAATTCAAATACACTCGTGAAAACCGTCCCCACTTTTCCTTGTCCATCATCATCAGTGAGTGAACTGCTCTAAGTTTTCCTAGAAGTTTATTTTCTCCTTGTGTGAAATGTAGAACCTGATAAAAGCAGTCTGTAATACTGATTTGATGAAACTAAATAGGCTTTCTTTAGTTTTATTTACTAGCAAAAGGCTTTCAGAGTGAACTGCTTCTCAGAAAATCCCTGTCCATTCACTTACTTATTCTGGAAACTACAGCAATTTCTTTATTTGAGGATTTGTGGGAGTGTTTGGACTTACTCCTTTCAGCCTGGTTTCTAATCCTTTGACATCTCATAACAACTCCTGAGAGGGCAGTTTTCAATGAATCTAATCGCATCTCCTTGATCCATGCCTAGAGGGAACCCTACCCCAGAAAACAGCCTCAAAGCTGGGGGACAGTGGAGAAGTGTTCACACTGTGTTCCCTTCATTGGCCCCACATAAGAGCACAAAAACCCCAAATCCAGATAAATTTCTCACCTTCCTCATACCAAATAAAGCCTAAAGCCACAGTGCTTTCCCATGCTCCCTCTACCCCAGAAGGATGGTTTATGGGAAGCAGGACCTGGTGAGGCCTATGTATGCCTCCACCACTCCCAGCTTCCCCAAATGTTCGCCCAGGGAGCAGTGCCAGAGGCCAGCTGAACAGGGCCTGTCACCAAACACTGGATGTGATAATTGCACAGGGCAGCTGCAAGCAAGCCAGGAAAGAGCTGCACTTTGACTCAGAAATCTGTGCCACGGCTGTGCAGCCACTGCCACCTATGATCTCTCTGCAGGAGGGCAGCCGTGGAGGCAGCTTCAGTTCAGGCCCTGAAGGTGCAAGCTGGCCTCCTGCTCTCCACCTTCCCATGTTCATGGGCCAAGACTGCTGTCCTGGTTTATCACTACAGCAGCTGCAAAGTGTGCTGCTGTTCAATTTCTGTCAAGGATCTGACAATGGCAAATTCCCCCTGTAAAGCAGATTTTCTAAACCATTGCACTTTTTTTAATGAAGGTTTCAGATTCTATTCAGCCAAAACAGTGGGGGTGGATTAAATACCTTTGTTCACTAGCTGTAGCACTCCTGAAAATACTAATGAAATCCAGATGCAGCTTCCACAAACTGCTCCTTGGGGCTATACGACATTTCAACTTCTGTATATTATACATATGTATACACATGGGTATGTGTATCTTTAAACATGCACAGAGAAACAAGCACACATATACTGGGGGGGTTGTAGAACTGCGTATGGAAAACACTGAGAAACTAAACTCTATGTGTGTGTGTCTTGCAAAGTTGACTAAATACTTTGGTGCTGGATGAGTGACTGGTTTAATTTTACATACATTACCCTTGTATTCTGCTTCCAGTTGTGACCAGTAGAGGAAGAAAATCAGAAGCAAGTGTACAATGATCCTTCCCTAAAATACACTGCCACTGTGAAACATTTAGAGATTTAGAGACCACTGCGCTATTCTAGACATGGCTTCCTTGAAATTTCCTACTCTTTATGAACTTTATATTCTTCATATTTGTCCCTCACAACAAAAAGTAATTGTGGCTAAAAGTGATTATTATGATTTAAAATGTTACAGTATAATAAGTCTATACTTATATGGATGGATTTCAATTTTTGAAGCTGTATTTCAGACCAGATACAAAAATCATAACCTACTGGTTACTGTTCTGGTACTTACTATACAGTGAGACACAGTCAGACTCCATACAAAGCAAAATAAACTATCTGCAGAACAAAAGTCAAAATGCCACAACAGAGGTTTCTGCAAAGGGCAAGCCATGTTCCTGTTTCCTCTGAGGAGTGCATAGCTCTCTCACAATCTCCACTCCAAGCTCCTATCCAGCCCGCAAAGCTGGGGGCAAACACAGTTCCTTCCTCCTCAAGCGTGTTTTCTCTGCTTCTGGCTCAAATTTGGTGAATTTAAGTACCTTTTTCCAGGTATCCTCTGAGTAGTTTCTGCTGAATCATTAGCCATTCTCAAGTTTATTGGAAGGTATGGTCTGACAGCAGAAGAGCTGATACCTTCTCCCATCCCCACTGCAGAAGGGACACCAGTGAGGGAAGAGGCGTAACAGGGCTGGTCCTTGCCTCCTGGTTTCCATTCCACAACGGCGTTGTCAGCCAAGGACAGGGGATGCCAGATTATGTGACCCCTTAAAATTTGTCTTGCCTGGCTGGTTGTTAACAGTCAATCAGCAAGGAAACAACCTCCTGCTGGAGCCCTGAAGCACCAATTAATTCCGGCACAGGCAGTGTGTAGGGTACAGCTTAACACCTGTACCAGACTAAGTTAATTGTGAAAAATCCACACGCTCTGAGGCACAGTATGTGACTGATTTTAAAGGATTAACTACACAAAATTTAATAATGAGCAGAATGCTCACAAGCATTAGCAAACAGCCACTGGAATAAAAAATTTGAAGCTCGCGTTTGGAATAATGAATACTCACCCTCAGTTGACTAGCCTAAAGAATTTTTTTTAAGAATACCCCGTATTCCAAAATGCATTCCAACTGCTCACACAAAAAAATAAGTTTCCAGGTTTTTTGATTAAAGTTTTTTTTCAATACAGCAGGATAGGCAGTCGTTCATACATTTCAACGGTTCCATCAAAATGAAATAAGCCAGTTTGCAGCCTGTCACTCTGAACATGCATCAAAAGGCTTAGTGTTCTGCTGACATAAATGTGAATCTGTTACGAACTATTTCCTACGTTGCTGGTTTGATTTTTGTTTTGCCTTGGGTTTTTTCTAAGTCTTTCCTTTGTATCCTAATATATAGTGATAAATGTCCTCTTAATCTGTGGAACAATTTTCATTTGCCTTCATGGCAGAGACCACCTTGAAGGAGCAAGTAAAAGCTTTAGTCATGGTTTCCATTTTTTCATTTGAATTCAATACATTCTAGTTAAATGGACAATTAATAGGTCACTTCCAAAATAGTAGTGTATCAGTCCTGGTTAATAAACAATCCCCACAGTTGATAATGGGCCTATGTATTCAGCAAGTCCCTGTATACACTCAGCTCATCCACTAAATCCCTTTTCAGGTAGACAGGGTTATATGGGAAGATGAGCTAGAATGAGTCTATAAAAGTCAGTTTCATTCACTGCTTTATTTTTCAGTCAAGTGCTTTAAATGGTGTCCAGAAAATCTCTTGGAATGTGAGACAGAAGAAAAGACTGGCGCATAGAGTATTGCTTTATGGCCATACAAAAGGGCAACTGACCCTTGCCCAGGCCTTTTCAATGTGAAATGGTTCCTAAAGTTCATCTGCACAGTGAAAAATTGTGGTGAGGTCGCGTGTGGATGAGTAAAGTGAAAGTGGTGATTGGTCATGGTGCTGTCAGCCATTGTGGGAGAGCCAGGGCCATGTAAAACGCTCTGTGGGAAAGTGTCAGCCCCCTAAAGAGGTGCTCAGAAACTCGCAGCTCATTAAACTGCCAGCATTTGCTGCCTCACTTGTCAAGAATCATTCAACTTAGCAACTACCCTTCTGAAACATTCATAAAACGCATGCACGTAGACAGGAAGGGTTTGAATGCAGCTGTGATAAAGAAGTATATGCTAAAGCACACACAAGCTCCAGTTTTCACGTGGATTTGACATGCAATTTGTGCTTTTTCTCTGGAAAAACTTCTGTTTGTATTCTTGAGCCATAAACACATAAAATCATGAATATCTGCTCTTAAGACTACGGCATGCCAACTTCTCAATCAAGGTTACATTTAGATTTGGATTAAATGTGTGTTCCAGATCTTTATCTTGAGTGTATAGCATATACTGGCCAAAATTCCCTTCAACTTGCTTCTTCATTTTTTTACATCATCATTAAAAAAGAAAAACTAATCAAACGTGTGCATGCATTTGACTGCTACAAAAAGAATAAGTGTTTTATTTAAATAATGCTACGGCTTCCTGAATCCTGAATTTATCCCTAACAGACACTAAAATGCAGCATCCATTTTAAGATCGTTCAGCCCTTTTCTTTTCTTATTTGCAAATGTTTATTGACACCATTTTTTAAAAGAGTTAACTGATGTTAAAGACTCTTTTCTAGTAAACTGAAAACAAGGAGCCTTCCTAGGTTAGCCCTGTCTGGGAGTCTCAATGCCATTAGAAACCTCTCACAATTGCTCAGTGTACTTAAGTTTGATAAATCTTTGCAAACCCTCTGAATAGGATTGCTGTGATTTTACTAAGGAATTAGCTGCTGCCATTGCATCACCAATTAGTTTTCCAGAACACATTAAATCCTGCTGCTTTAGTTTACAGAATAACTCAAGCATTACTGATGAAGCATAAAAACTTACTTGGAAAAGCAGTGGGGGATGCAGGGTGCTGACAGGACCCACCACAGCATGCTGAGTAGAATGGCGGGGCTCGGAGAAAAAAGTGTTTGGAAAGAGCTGCAAAGAAAGCACAGATCTAATTGATTATCCATTGAGCTTAGGTGATATTCATAACAACAGTCCTCCAAAAAGTCAGTGTGTAAAGTCCTGCCCCACAAGTTCTTTTTTTCTTTTTCTTCTAGATAGTGATATTTTTAAGGCAAACAATGATAAACCAAGCAATTGCTCTTTAATTTAGCAGGGATATTTTACATGCATAGCTTAACTATACTGTGCAAAACTCTCAATATATTAATAAGAAGAATGAGATTCTGCAGATTTGAAAATTAATTCTGTAATTGCTACTATTAGGTTTGGTTTTGTTTTTTTCCTAAATATTGGGATGGAATGTGTTGTTTCAATAATATGTTGTTGAAATAGTGAGTGTAATGCATCTGAAAAAGTTATTAAAATAACACTAGTAAGCAAGATATCCTAGAAAAAACAGAACCTAAAAGTGAATCCTGTCTCTTCTCCTTGTGCTCCAATGCCATTAGTACTCAAACCAAGAAAGTCCTCCATAAATAAAAAACCTTTATGAATAAATTCTGTAAAATGCAATGAGACAATCCATCTGAGCTCTACAGGCACAAACTACTAGGCCTGATACTGCTATCCTGATGGTAATCTGAGAAAGTGCTCTAAAATGAAATAAACCACTTGCTGAAGAAGGCTTTGCTTAATACAATAAAAAATTGCAAAATCAACCCACAGAATCAGGTGATATTGGGTAAAATTTCTGTTGAATTTTTGAACCAATGAACCAAAAATCATTGCTATGTATAAAAGGTACTTCCAAATCTTGGAAAGCTCTTCGGTAGCTAATAATCCCTTCATTTTTTTCTATACAGCTTATGGTCTTTTCCATTAATCTTAATTACCTTTTAATTTCTGCTTGTGCCAGTCCACTACAAAACTTGAAATTTTTTTTTTTGAAAATAGATATATCATGTCTGCTAGAACTGTAGACTTGTAAAATATGATCAACATCAAAATATTTAAGTCATTTTCCTGTTTTGGTTTAGGCAGAAAATAAACTACTCTAGATCCTGCATTGTAGTTTGTCCAAATCTCTAGAAATAACCTTATCAATTAAAAAAAAAAATCAGATTAAAAAAGAAGTCAATAGTCAGGAAGAAAGACAGATAAAAATAAACAGATAAATATATCTAAGCCATGTTGTTAATTTTTAAAGGTTTTTCAACTGGAATTAAAGATCATTGAAAATTAGGTTCCCAAGCACATATTAGGGAGTGAGAGTAAGTTTTCTGAATGCTAAATCTGTTGATCTTCCAAAGCAATAAACTATTGCTGTAGGAGTCTAACTCTAAACACTTTTAAAATATTTACCTCTATTTTCTATCAGAATTCATACAAGTTTAAGTGAAAATTTCTTCAGCTATAATTACAAGTTGATAAGCATTTTACTGCTAGAGCTTTTCACCGACACTTCGCTGTTTCTAATGAAATATAAATACACTCCAAGAGGAACTAATTGCCCTTATTTGACGTTTATGCTTGCAAAACATTTACAAAAAGGAATGATTTACACCAGGCATTAGTATTCTAAAGCTTCTCTTCCACACGAGACATCAAACATGTCCTACAGAACCTGAAACAGTTGAAAACATGCAGCCAGCTATTACCTATCTTATGTATCCAAAGGGCTTCAATGCAGCTGGTGGGGTGTCTAAGTTGGAAAAGACTTGATTAACTGAACAAGCACAGGAGATGGAGAAGGCAAAGACCTGCCAGAAAATCCCAGCCATCCTCCTAAACATGAGAACTTTCCTTGACAACAGCTTTTATCTGCTGCTAACATTTTATCTGCTGTGGTTCCTAGACTCCCAGGTGAAAAGCTTTTCCTCCCTTCCTTGGGAGCCACATTCCTCATTTCTCCCTTATAGTCAGATAAAACTTTCTGCTGCTAAAAATACAATTTAGTATACAGAAGGTGCCACACAACTAATTTGCTTCCCTTCCCACATGTCTCAAATACTCCTTGGCTGCTATAATTCCCTATTCCCTTAACCATTGCTCCAGCACCTTATGCATGCTGTACGATTTTTGTCAGACATGCTGGACAGTCCTTAATATGCCCTGTTGTGGTTTTTTGACCCTCCAGTTCCTTGCTCTTTTTTGATAATGTGGTGCTCATAATGATACTTGATACAGCCAGGAGATATCTGGATAAATCAAAATTGAGTAGGCTCTTGCTTCAGTTAGATAGCATGCTCCTGCGATTAAAGATAGAGGAATAGGAAAGGGATATGTTTTTTTCCATTCACTAAATCTCTCAACAAGCAAGCTGAAAGCATAAAGGTCAGGAGATGGACCAAGGTCAAAACTTCAGGCATTTTGCTTCAGGAAATTCCAAACAAGCCACGTATTTCCATGCATGTTGCTGACAATGATTCCATGCAGTAGCACAGCACCATGATGCAAACAGCAGAGACCCTGGCAGTAATTCTGCTCAGGTAGATGGAAATCACGCTTCCGGTGTTCTTCGGCATTTTACTCAATTCCCTCAACCAGCTGCTGCCTTTTCTGCCTGCACAGCACATATCCATTTGGGGTGGAACATTTGCTTAAGAAATAAGATGCAGCTCATACAACTACGAACCAAGTGGCTCCTGAGACCGTTTCTCAACACTGATTTATTCTGTGGAATAAACCACCTCATTATATCTCCCTACGCCTACAGCCGACACATATGTCTCCTTCATAAACTTCTTTACTGTGCTCCAACTCCGTCGATGCACAAGTGAATTCTACATTAAATATGTCAAACCACATCCCCTGGTCATGTCTAATGAAGCCTCTGCACTCAAACCAATGTGTAGCAGTTACAGAGATTTACACTAGTAAAAAAATCTGGCATAATACAGGGATACTCAACTCTATCTTGGGAGCTCTGTGTAGAGGGAAACGTTAATGCTTCAACCCAACAAGTGCAAATGTATTTTTCATCTTTGATAGAAATAACAGAGAATATTAAGTACATTAAATGGTTTGCACTGTCTGCGTGAAATTGCATCAACAGAATGAAAATTGCTCAGAGAAAATGATACATTTAAGGTATGTGTATTTCAGAATTATGCTGTGATTGTACCTGTAGGAATGACACGATACCTACCAACACTGAGAACAATACACAGAAAGCATTGCCTATGCATTTATTTTGTTTCACATATATCATAGCCACTCTATCAATATTTGTCAGTCAAACGATCTGAAGCAAACATTGTTTGCTATTCACATGAGGCTGAAAATTGCTGAAACGTCAGAATATTAGTTCTGTATTTACTGGCCAGAATGAAGAATGCAGTAACCAAAAGGCAGCTGTTGCTTTCAGTCCTGAGTACACATTAACTAGGGGCCAAATATACAATACAGACAATAAAATGATACCGAACATGCAGATGGACCTTAGGCTCATCTAGTGCTAAAATTCTGAGATTAGTTCAGATACTGGTGTTTTAAAATACACTGCCGGCTCTGAGGATACTTCAAATGCAAAAGCCCTCCCATACTAAAAAGCCATGATGGCAGTAGGACCCAAAGTTTTCCTTCCAACCACCCATCATTTTGAGAGTAAGGCTCCTATGCACAATTCAGTTCAAAGGGCTACGGAATATTGAAATGGCTTATTATTAAAGACATTGTTTGTTCTTCCTAATCCTAGTGTTGTGAAATGACTGAGGAACGAGTGCAGGCCATTAGCCAGCAAGAAAGGGAGAAGGTGTGAAGGAAAAATGGCTACTGAGGAAAACTGAACTGATGGTAAATTTCTGGCATTACCTATGGAAGGCTCCTTCACTGCACATGCTGTTAGCTTGCCGTATATTTTAAAGCTAACTGATAAAAAATGTGGTATAAAAATGTGAAGAGAGCTGAAACACCTCCAAAGAATGATTCAGAAAGCTGCCTAGAGGCAGCCAACAAGAAACAGTAAGCACAGGAACAGACAGACCTCAAGCTGCATAGCACTTTAATTCTCCAAGTATTGCTAAACCCACATGAACTGCTTTCCACAGTGATGCCCAGCTGACAGCCCTGGCAGGCAAATTAAAAATATCATTAGTAAAATGATCCCATTTCATCTGAGAACCTTGGACGGTTTATGCGTATGAAGCGGGCACAGATAAACTGCAATTTCCTACCTATGTCCATTCCTGGCAATGTCTAAATCAGGCTTTTGCAAAGCTGCAGGAAAGTTTCAGGTCATCAAGAGCTCAATGCAAATCGTCCAGACGCAGTGCTGCCAGGTTAGTGGTCCAGCTGAGCCACATGGCACCGTTTCTGCTTCTGAACCACAAGCCCTGGGCCTCAGAACAAACCATGGCTCTGTCCCTAGCAGTTACTGTGTTTAGAGGGCAATGTTCCAGCAGCAGTTGTGCACCCCCAAAACATTTCAGCCAGCTGAAGGGGACCCCTGACCATGAGGAGGAAGCAGTAGCCACTGCCATATCACACCAAAGTCAGTTGCCACCACATGGACCTGCCAAAACTTACTGCAAGGGCCTGTGGTAGAGCACCCTTCAGAGCTGGCCTTCCTGCACTTCCAAACTCACTGTCTATCCCCTCCCCCCGTCCATGTTCCTGTAAAACGTGACCACACGAATGCCCAAAGGAGGAGAGCCAAAAGGGCAGACCAGAGTGGCATATGCAGATCAGTTTTAATAGAAAGGGTTTAGAAGTGCTAAACTTATTTTTAAATCCCCCACAAAAAGGCAGATGTGAGAAGCGGGCTTGCATTTTTATCTTGGGTCTTGGTGGGGCTTTCGAAAATTAGCAGAGCAGTCACACCAAAAAGGGCCAGAAACAGGCTGACAGCACGACTGTGGCTTCCTTACGCCTGCAGCAACGCAGCCGTCGGGAGTCACGCCGCCGACCGGCTGCGCCCACGCCAATCGCTGTCTGTGTTCAGAGCCACCACTCACGTGCCTGGTCACTAGGGCATGATTTGCTGTACCTTTTTTTCTCCACCTAGGGAAACACAGGGGCCTCAGGCT